ATATATATATATATATATGGAAATAGGCAGAAAATCAGAAAGAGCCCCTGATAATTAGAAATATAAAAGAAGTTTTAAAACATTCAGCAGCAGTCTTAAATGATAAAGCTTGAACATAAACCAGAAATAGAACAAAAAGGTAAAATGAAGTTTATTTTAAAATCTGTTTAAATTTAAATTTAAAAGAAGAAAATGCTAATGCATTGATCCAAAAATGTATAGCACAACTAGTAGAAGTTTCTGGCAGAGAATTAAAAATAAGAAAGGAAGGTTATTTTAAAAACAAAACAAAATTTTACTAGAGTTTTCAGAAATGAAGATGTTGAGATTTTATTTGAGAAAACTACTCAGGGACCAGACCTAAGGACTCAGGTAGAATTCTGAAAACTCGGGGATGGAAATAGAATCTGGGCCTCCAAAGAGGGGACTATGATGTTGTGTGATCTAATCAGACATAAAGCCCATTCTAGTTTTGTTTGTTTTATTTTTGTTTTATAATACTGGATATCACAGCCAGGGCATTAGCACTGAACAACATCCTCAGAATTCTTTTTTTTGAGACAGAGATGGAGTTTACCAAGTTGTCCAGGCTTGGCTTGAACTTGCAATACTTCTGCCTCAACTTGCAGAGTGCTAAGGTCACAGGCATCTACCACCACTCATGGCTAAAGCCATTTTTAAAGTACTGTGTATGTATTTCAGAATGAATTTGTGTTAAATAGTAGGGTTTTGCCATGTAAAAGTTATAGCCATAAAAACAAAAAAGAAACAAACAAAAGACCAAAACAAACAAAAAAATGTAAGTCAAGACCACAAATACATCTGGTACCCATCTCTGCGATGTTCGGGCAATATTTGAATTGAGAGTGACTAAAGCTTTTCTAATATTGATACTAGTTTGACACAAGCATAAAGATTCACAAACACAATAGCTCAATGAAATAATCTCACAAAAGTTAAATTTTCCCTTGCATTAGAAAAGTAAAGCAAAAAAAAAAAAATCCCCTGCTAAGCTGAGCACAGCCAAAATTTTTGGACTACATACAATGCAGCAAATATCATGTGATCAGGCATGAGGAGCTCTGCTGGGCACCACAGGAGACGGATCAATGACTTCAGATCAATGACCACTCAGTGACAATTACTTCAAATTCAGAGTCCTACAAATGCTGAAGGATCAAAGTAGAGAAAATAAAGTTTTCAGGCATAAAAGACTCAAATAACTTACCTTCCATATACCAATTTTCAGGAAGTTATGGAAGGGTGGATTCCACATGACAGAGTAAATAAGAAAGGATTTCCATAAAGGAGAACTCGTAGTAACAAATAAGGTTCCAGAACAATGGTTGAGTAGATTTAAAGAACATCTAGTTCACATGGAGCAAGAGAAGAGAATATTCCAGGATAGTCATCTCCATGAGGGAACATTAAAAAAAAAAAAAGAAATAGCTGGTATGTCTGTGTATTTATGGGAAGTTTTCCAGTTTTATTTGAGAGTATGATGGATTGGTGAAAGAAAACTAAACAAACAAAAGAATGAGACAGCTATTTTCTGGGAAAACAAAGAAAAGAAAGTAAATATAATGCGAAGTGGCTCAGCTGTGGGCAATATTTGTGTAATCACGTGATTACTATTAAATATTGATTTAATCACAATTGTCAGTGTACGAGTATAGGGGCATATGTGTTGTGTGGGAAACATATGTAGGGTTTGTGGTGTAAGAAAACTAAATTCTCATCTAACATATTAGAAAGTCAGCAAATAATGTCTAAATTTGAAAATTAGGAAAAATGCATGATTTTGAAAGATTATGATACTGAAACATAGCTATAATAGGTTATAAGAGTTTAAAGTGTTTGCTTCTGGATATCAGAATTTAGGTTGGGGAGAGGTAAACCACAAGTGTTGCTTCTCTCTTGAAGCCTATAGTACTGCAGGGCTTACTATAATGTTCACAAATATTAATGATATAAAATTAAGTTTAGCTGGAAAAAATTGGAAATTTCAAACTTTCTACAGCACGTTAATAATGTTGAAACAAGACTGATAACTCATCTATGTCCAAGCCACCTATATTAGAAACTGAGACCTTAGAATAAAGAATCCTTATGCATTAGATTGTGTTGGATTAAAATGAATTATGAATGAGTAAAAATATTTTAAATTTGCTTTTTAGGTGTCAGGACTATCTACATGGATAGGAAATAAATTATCTCCTCTAGGTTCATTGCCATTATGGCTAATAATTCTGATATGTTCTTTGATTGTCACATCTTTGACAGAGGTAGCTAGCAACCCAGCTACTGTTACCATATTTCTTCCAGTATTATCTCCACTGGTGAGTATCTCATTCACAACATTCATGTTCTCTTCATCCAAAGAGTAGTGTTCACTGGACTTTGAGAGGCTAGTTCTCGTACTGTGGTGTAAAATCGTGTATGGCTTAAATGGGTCCTCTATAAGAAATACAGAGCAGTCTTTATTTGTTTTAAAGGTTTTAGGTAATCTTGACTAAAGAGAACTATTTTCTCTGTTCTTAAGTAAACAGTGTACCTTCTCTCTAACCATGTTGTTTTTTTACTTTTTTTTCATTTGCTAATAAAGGACAGAGTCATGCTAGATCCATTCCAGCTCTAAGACTTTGGATTCAGCATTTCCTGACAAATTTAGATTTCTAACACACTTCTTTCCCCAGAACATTGTTCTAAATTTGTGAGCAGAGCTTCATGAAAGTGTATGCAGATGAATGACATGCTTGGCTTACCCTTGAAGTTTAAACATTTTAGACCCAATTCCCTACTGCCTAGGGAAGGATTTTTTTTAAAACTAAGAGAGAATGAACAAGACTATTTTGTCTTCTCCACACTTCATTACCTATCACAAGTAACAAATTTACGCATGATGTTTTCTTATCAGGGTGCAATTAGTTGGTGAAAGCAAAGCCTTTTGTATTAAGAAAGTTTGTCTTATAAAAAGCAGAAAAAGAGGGCCAAGGATTTAGCTCAGTGGTTTCATTGCCTGCCTTGCAAACACAAAGTCCAGAGTTTGATCCCTGGTAACAACAACAACAACAAAAATGAAAAACAGAAAGAGAGAAAGAGCAATTATCTTTCTGCAGTTATTCTACCTCCAGTTTATAGGGTATATGTTGAGGCTTTGAGCTTCTCCAGGAAAATGTAGGCTGATATTCACAAACAAATATTGGCAAAATGTCTTTTTCCCTTTCTTTATTTTTTTAAGATGGAAGTCAGAAAATGAGGTGATTAATTAAGAATATGAATATATTTTCTGTAGTGATTCCTAAGAAATTTTTAAATTGCATTTGTCATAGAAGCCATAAGGTTGGTGATATAACTAGAAGCCCTAGAGCCAGAGGGACCTAGGATCTTACCTGAGATCTCCTGCTTGCTAGCTGTATGTTTGAATAAGTCCCTTTAGCCTCTCTGGGCTTGTGCCTTCATCTGTTTTTTGTTTTTTTGTTTTTGTTTTTTAATTATTGTAGCTATCGCATAAGATTGTAAAACTTTAAAATATATATCATTAATTATAATATTTTATATATTATGTATAAATGTATCTATACATAGACACTTAGCACTGTACCTGGGATGAAATGATAAATGGTTGCTGTTCTTAGTTTCTGGAATAACTGACACCTTATTTTGTAAATGACCTGAACTCTAATGTTTAAATAGCCAACAAAAAACATGTAAATAAGAGGAAGAAACCTTTCTAAACAATACTCTTCAAGTTATAACTTCACTTGTGTGCAGTTTTCTATAATTAGGTTTCAACCTACTTCAGGAAGTTTTTTTTTATTTCAATATCTGGTGCCTACCTTCAAGATTTTACTTCCATTTCTTTTTTCTTTTACAATAGGCTGAAGCCATTCAAGTGAACCCTCTTCTTATTTTGCTGCCTTCTACTCTGTGTACCTCATTTGCATTCCTTCTACCAGTAGCAAATCCACCCAATGCTATTGTTTTTTCATATGGCCATCTGAAAGTCACTGACATGGTAAGTTAGCTAAAAGACTATTACTAGAGACTATACACATGTGTGTATGTGTGTGTGTGTGTGCACGCGCATGTGTGTGTGTATCTTGAATAGGTTCAACTTTTACACACTAATGTGCCTTGGGAAAAGTATGAATTCTGTTTCTGTAGTTATGTGCGTGACTGCTCATAGAACTGGTTTTTAAGGGTAATACCAAGAAGTGAACATGATATTAGAATTTATAGTCACAAATACGAAGATGTCAAGTGCATTAGCAATGGCATAGAGAAAGAAAAGTAAAAAATCATTCAACACAAAAGCTTGAATTCCTCATGTCAAGGTCAGGATCCAACCTGATCTAGGAAAAAGGAAGAAATACTGATAATGAAATCCAGCAATCAAACAGCACCATGATTTGCTATCACAAATATTTTATTTAATGACATTTGCTTTGAATAAGTCATTAGGTTCAGTGCCTGACTGGTGAAAAGGCACCTTTCTTGTCCTGATTCTAATATGGCACCTAAAAGCACGAGCCAGTAATATTGGAAAATTTAAGTGATAAAACATGCAAATTTTCCCCAGATTTAAAGTAGTGGTTGTTAGTAACTAATTTTAGAATACTCTAGTCTTAACCCAGTCTTCAATACCAATTTCTAAAGTAATTCAAACAAGAATATATCCAAAGTAAATCTGATGAGCTTGCTATGAAAATATAGATCCAAGGCACCCCACCTTCCTTCCTTTCTTCCACTCAGACTGCTGTTCAGGAATCCCAGCAACAACAACAAAATCTGGAAATATTTCTACTGAGAAATCACATAATATTTTTTCATTAAATAAAATTTTCTAATAATCATTTTGTTATTTAAAATGTACATATGCAATGCTTTTATATATGTGTGTTAAAATAGATAAAAATATGATTCCGGAATAAATAAGTGGCCTGCATGGACAGAGAAGAGGGTGTCTGTAATAATCATTGTTAAGTGTACCCCCTTTTACTCTTCAGTTCTATGTTTTAATGCAGGGAATTCACAAGCAGACAAGCACTGTCAATAAAGGGCCAGACAATTAATAGTTGAGGCTCCGTGCGCCATAATCTCTGTCAAAAATACATGCTCAACTCTGTTATTTCACCATGAATGCAGCCAAAAACAATATTGAAACATACACACATGGTTGTTGCCTAACAACACTGTATTAGCAAAGACATGAAAAGCAGAAGTTTGACAATCTCTATTTTAATGGAGAAAAAGCAATTTTGAAATTGTTTAATGGACTCCAACTAGAAATATGGGAACACCTAGAGTAGAAGTGGCATTACAAATTTTTAGTAAGAGATTATTTCAGGGTAAATTAGTAATAAAATTAAGTGACCATGAAGGGCACAGTTATTATATGGTGTCCTGAAACTTATACATTGAAATATAAAAGCATAAAACTCAAATTCAAACTTAATATACAAGAGCAAATATTTATGAAGATTGTCTCTCATCAGAATTACTTAGGGATATTCTTAAGAAACAGTGTTCCACGAGTGTCTAAAGAAATGATATTTAACTAGGGACAGATTTTCTCTGGTAATTTTGAGAGAAATTCATTGCTTCATGAAATAATATAACATTGTGAACTAGTCATTTAGGATGTAGGTGAATATGACATATCTTTCTGCAACCATATTTTAGCTTTCCTATGAGGTTTCCTTTGGGAAGACTAATATTTATGCTCTTTCCTTTTCAAGGTTAAAGCTGGACTTGGTATTAATATCTTCGGTGTTGCGGTGGTGATGCTTGGCATCTTTACCTGGATTTCACCCATGTTTGACCTTTATACTTACCCATCCTGGGCTCCTACAGTTCGTAATGTAACCGTGCCATGACAAGCACAGAATTTTTTACTTTCTCTTGGTGACTTTGATGGAACCATTAAGAATTCATTGGAACATATGTTTGTGTATAACTAATGACAAATTAAATCAGTCATAGTATAGCTGCTGAGATTCCAATGAACATGCAAAACCTGCTTTCATAACTTGGAGTCCATATTTCTCCTGGGCTGTGTTGGCAGACTATCTATGTGCCTTCATCAAGAAGCCTAGGCTTGAAATTTTGCTCATGGAGTGTCCATTTCTTGCTTCCTCATTAGAATAATTTATAATTTGACATTTAAAGAGGTTAGGCCATTTGCTTTACCTTAGAATTAGAGTTCAGTGTAACATTTCAAACATTAACTTGTTAGCTCAGAAACTTTCCGTGAAATTAAAAACAGAACAACAGAGTATACAAGTTAATTAACTACTTGGAAAAATCATTTCTATAGTGTTGTTCAAAGACTTTGCTGAAAAATAAAGACATGGTCATCTGGTGGTGCAGAAAAAAGTTTAATGAAATGTTCATTTCCTGACTTAAGTAAAATTCAATAGGATTATTCTTAATACACAAAGCATAAAATTGAATTGAATTAGTACATAATTCTAAATTTATAATTGAACCATTGAATCACAGAAAACTCACAGGTAATGATTAATTTCTACTTGATCCAATTGGTAGATTAATGTTCCATACTTTTCTGGTATCTATACTTAGAAATGTGCTTTCGATAGCTATGAACAAGCTATATGATTTGTACTATTAGTACAGGGTAGTTAGAAAGAATAGCTAAACATAAAACTGTTCATACAATTATGCATATGTACAACTTTATCTTATTTTAGAAATGTAGAATTTCAGCTCTAAAAAGAAGAAATAAATTATCAATATGTGCATAGAAATAAAAAAGTCTTGAATCCTTTTATCAAAATTGAAATGCAATATCGGTTGGAACATAAATAATTTAAAAATTTAAATTTTATATATTTACAAAGGATAAAAATCATGGCTCAAACCATTGAGCAAACCATAGAGATAAAAGAAAAAGAATTAAACATTAAACCAAATAAAATAGATATGGAAAACAACAAAGCCTGTTGGCATTCCAAAATTAGAATAATGTATAAAATGATCATTAAAAATAAAAGATGGAGACTTTAGATCACAGAATTCTCAAATTCAAAACACAACAGAAGACAAGATAAAAAAAACTGAGTTATTTTTAATCTTCATAGGTATCTTTATATATGTTACAAATCTGGTGTTTTTGCAAATAATTATTTATGAAATTATTATTGAAATTAAATGAATATTTCATAAATATTTAAATATTATATGTTAAAATTTAGGTGAGTAATTGTCATGTTCATTCATTATATACGAGTCATACAAAATCAATTATTTTCAGAGAAAGGTTGTACACATCAAGCTTACAATATAATACTGCATTGTGAAATCTGTCTAAGTTCATCCTATGCTCTTGTTCCTTTTCCCATTTTATGTTACACATTTATTTATGATCCATGGCATTGATTGTATCTCTTCTATTCTACTCATTCAATGTATCACTGCTATATTGGATTATATTATGGGTGTATTTTCACTGTAAAAAAATAAAATAACCTTTCAAATTATAAGGAATAAGTTTGGGTTTCCAGAAACAATGTAAGCATCTCTGTTTCAATAATTTTAATGAATTATTTCCAACTGCTGCCAAATGGAAAACACGGAAAAGTAACTCGTGGTGAAAATTGGTTTAATTGATCCATACAGTTCTCTTGCTACATCTTTATGCCTGGTAGATATATCAAAGGTGACTTTTTAATTTCACGTTTGTCCCATTTATATCCCAGTCCTTCGGCTCTTTTAGTTTGAGGGTTGCATGGCGTTTTGGGAAGTTTCTTAAAAGCAACTTTAAACACATGATCAAACACATCTTTGCCCTCCCACTCCATAGGAGATACTGTTTTTGTTATTATCTTAATATTACCTACAGTTTAACTAGAAATCTTTGTCACTTTAAATTCTAATATCTTACTTAAGATCTGGTCTTTTCTTGTTTAGATTAGAGTAGCAATTTCACTAACTGACTATTTACTGTCTGCTCCTGTAAGCACTCGGAAGGCTCCACTGGCACATGGGCACCCTTTGGTCTACCAGCTGCTGCTGTGCATGTCAGTGCCTTCACAATTCATATGTCCTTTCTCTCAAATATGTGCTCTTCTTTCACCTAGTGTTCAAGTATTTGTTCTCTCCTTTTCAGCCTGGGAGGCAAGGAAATAGATTTTTAGCCAATGCTACTAGTTAACATTATTAGAGACCACTGGCAAAACAATAAATATCATGACACATTGATTGTATTTTGACATGTGCATTATATATTATTATTATTATTAAATAGATTTGTATACTGCTGCCATAGCTAAATATTTGATAAGAGCCTTGGTGATTACACTTCTTTTACAAAATTGTATTAGTTTCTTCAATGCATAGCTATTATCTTTACTTGAATGTACAGATTTTACAAAATTAAATGTGGTGTTTTTCTTATTGGTAGCAAGGGTGGGTTGTGCTGAAAGAGAAAACCCAAACAAATTCAGTCAATTTTATTACTCTAACATAATCTAAAAAAGAGAACATTTAACAGTATTACTCCAGAGTAGTCTTAGTCATATTATTACCAAATGAGGCTCTTTAGTTCAGAAAATATTTGCTAGAGAAGTCCTAGAAATGCAAATATAAAAATCATATGTCCAAATTGCACAAGTTGGCCAGGATAGTCCAGGAATAAATAATAAGAATGGCATGTAGCTTAGACAGAAATTTAAAAGGTTTTTCCAACTATGAGAGCTTTTATTTGTTTAAAAGCTTTCCTCACTCTCACTGATAGTATTGTGGAGTAAATACCATTAAAAATATTTTTGAGGCCTAATAATAAAATATATCGTATAACAGACACCACTGTATAGGCAAGAAAATAATGGAAGTATAGACAAGAATCTTGACATTTAAATGAGAGCTAAAGATGGTAACTTTCAATTCCCACAGATCTTGAACTTCTGTTTTAATAAAAATATAAGAAACAAAGAACAAGAGCAAAATCTTGGAACCAATCAAATTAGGAATAGAATGGAGAACTGGAGCTGTGAGATCAAAGAACCATATTCTCAGTGAAAGTGTGAGCTAGAAAAAAAATCACCCTAGAGTGGGAAATCATCAGAAAAATTTTTGTGTTATGGCCCATGTAGTCATGAAAGGAGTTGAAGTCTCCCTTGACAATGTATAATCACACAAGTTTAAATACTACAATTAATACTAGTAAAAGAAGGAAAAATTTAACCAGAAACTTTGTGTGTTTGTTGTTTTTTTGTACCAGAAATAGAACTCGAATCCTTGTGCTTGAGAAGTAGGCACCGGAATCACAGAGCTAAATCCCCAGCCCCACAAACTTTGTTTTAAAACCATTCTGTGGCCGGGGATTTAGCTCAGTGGTTCCACTGCCTGCCTTGCAAATGCAAGGGCCCAAGTTCAATCCCTGGTACGAAAAAAAAAACAAAAATCTGAAATTGTATGATTCTCAAGCACCTAGAAAAACCAAGAATATCTTCTTCAAAATAGCACTCAAAAATTGCTAACATTAAAGTTCCTAAGATATTTTAATGAAAATTCACAAATCCCAAACTGCAAAACATAATGTATAAGAGCCAACATAAACAAAGGAAACAATCCCAAGTACAACAGATATAATTATCAAGTACAAACTATAATATAATAAGTATAATGTTTCAAAATCTAAATCAAGTGTTGGATATATAGTAACCATGGTAAGTGGATACTTAAATGTCTTCTTAATTTTATCCATTGCAATTGCTCAGAGGGTCACGTAGGTCTTACTCTAAAGGAGGAACATTACAGATGGAATTAAATGACTAATCAATGGAACTTAAAATAAGGAAACTGTACTATATCATCCAGGTAAAACCATAAAACAGAAAAGAAAGGCAGAAGGGCACAGAGATTAAGCAGAATAGGAAGTCAAAAAAGGAAGGAAACAACTCATCATAGCTAGACTTGAAGGTGAAAGACATCTCAAGGCAAGGAGTATAGGAAGCCTTGAGCAGCTAAAAGTCACCACTGGCTTGCCTTGCAAATGCAAGGGCCCAAGTTCAATCCCTGGTACGAAAAAAAAAACAAAAATCTAAGATTGTATGATTCTCAAGCACCTAGAAAAACCAAGAATATCTTCTTCAAAATAGCACTCAAAAATTGCTAACATTAAAGTTCCTAAGATATTTTAATGAAAATTCACAAATCCCAAACTGCAAAACATAATGCACAAGAGCCAACATAAACAAAGGAAACAATCCCAAGTACAACAGATATAATTATCAAGTACAAACTATAATATAATAAGTATAATGTTTCAAAATCTAAATCAAGTGTTGGATACATAGTAACCATGGTAAGTGAATACTTAAATGTCTTCTTAATTTTACCCATTGCAATTGCTCAGAGGGTCACGTAGGTCTTACTCTAAAGGAGAAACATTACAGATGGAATTGAATGACTAATCAGTGGAACTTAAAATAAGGAAACTGTACTATATCATCCAGGTAAAACCATAAAACAGAAAAGAAAGGCAGAAGGGCACAGAGATTAAGCAGAATAGGAAGTCAAAAAAGTAAGGACACAACTCATCATAGCTAGACCTGAAGGTGAAAGACATCTCAAGGCAAGGAGTATAGGAAGCCTTGAGCGGCTAAAAGTCACCACTGGATGAAACTCAGCAGAGAAACAGAACATTCAGTCCTACAGCTGAGTGAAACTCAATTTTACCAACCACCTGCATAAGCCTAAGAGCAAATTATTCTTTCAGTAAGTAATGCAGCCTTGAAGAAAAGTGATTTTAGCTCTGTCAGCCTTGTTTTGGAATTTGAATCTAAACAGTTCTTAGACAATGATAAAACATTGTTTTTAACAATTAAATTGGAGTAACGTGTTAAGGTAGCAATAGAAAATAAAACAATAAGCAACAAGAAACTGTGAAAAGTGAGCAGAAAGATCTGAAAATGTGTAAATAGATATTTTAGAAATGAAGAGTATAATAAAATTTAAAACTTAATTAAATAGCCCACTATACAACCAGAAAATCAAGAGTGTGGATGTGAAGACAGTTTAAAAAATATTAAGTAGAATATAGCACAAAGAGAGGGAAAAAATTGGAACACATGGTGGTTAAGAAAATCCAAGTTAGAATAACAAAAGTAGTATACACTAATCAGAATCCCAGGAGTAGATAATAAAAAAGAATAAGGGAGAAAAAAAATCACTAAAAATACAATAGCTAAAACATTTTAAAATATATACAAAAGAAGCAATTATGATGTTCAGGAAGCAGGATGAATCCAAAAACAAGATTAGAAAAATAAAATATGAAATCCACATTTGCTTGCATGATAATGAATCATAGAACATCAAAGTAGAAAAGATCTAAGTAAAAAGAAAGCAGAAAACATACAAGGAAATATAATTGGAGTGAACCATCATCAGTTTGGGAAAGAAATGAGTATCTTCAAGTACTGAAACAAAGAACTGTCAATTCAGAATTAAATAACCAGAGAATATGCTTTAAGAATGAAAGGAAGAATGAAGATTTGATACTAACAAG